CTGAGCAAAAAAGGCCTGCATCGTGGACATCCTTGCGCAGGGGTCATGCTGAAGATTTCACTCCAACAGTTAGAATAGGGTTTTGGGGTCCATTATACTATAATTATAATAAGGAGCCCCGAAAATAATTTGTAACTATTTAGGTCCCTAGATTGAACCCTAAAGCCTGAGAACCCACAACTTGGTCCAACCAGGATTTTGGGTTTGCTTGGGATGTCAAGTAGGAGAGGCCATATAAAGTTGGAACTTCATAGCCCCGATGCCCTTAACATCAAGGGTATAGGGTTTATAGGCTTTCAAGTATGGGGAAATCGAGCACTCATAATTGCAGGACCTGTTTCGACCCATAGAGGCATACCTCCAACCCCAACCACGGTCTATGCATACCTCAGTGGCCCAAACGTGCAAACATCGAGAGCTCGAGGCTACCTAGTCTAGTGCATCCGTGACTCTAACTGCCGAAGGTTCAAACAGTTCAAACCTTATAATCTCGCGGATCCTAAGAATCCAAACCGAAAGATCCCCACGAAAAGAAAACTAAGCTGCTACTGTTGACGATATACATCCTGCCTTGACTTAAGGGCCCTAAACTATGGGAACTCCGGTATATTCCTGAGTATGGGTAATGCAGGATTTGTATCATCAACCGATGGTTGTTGGGCCATGGTACCCGAAGGTTGATGCATGACGATCCAGCTGAGTTTCGCTGCGAAAAAATGCCAAGTTGTCAGGGCTTATAGCTGCANNCACGAGAGCGCAATTTTTCTGGGGCGCGTCAATCCTGGCTGTGTGAGTGCTGCAGCTGCCTGGTCGCAGCAAAAGGCAGTTAGTGTCATAATATAGGAGCCTTAATCATTAGAATAGGGCTTTGGAGTATGGTATCGTACAGATATAGTAAGGAACCCTATAAGGAATAATACTTATATCTAATTGGGCTTCTACACTACCCTAAACCCTAAACCCTAGCCTACACCCGCAAGTGATCCGAATCGACTTCCCAGCCCGGACATGGCTTCTGGGAACCTGTGGCCTTAAACCTCCACCAAACAGAGCTAGTTTGCGGTTTAGGTGTTTCGGGGGTTCAGGGTTTAGGGGTTTAGGGTTTAGTGGTTCAGGGTTTAGGGGTTTAGGGTCTCGGGTTTAGGGGCTAGGGTTTGTTTAGGATTTCGGGTTTAGGGGTTTAGGGTCTAGGGGTTTAGGGTAAAATCTTATAGGGTTTAGCCTCTAATTCGTGTCTGCGGTCTTTAGTCATTCGTGTCCGATTCTCTTCGCGTGTGCGAAGGCTCGAGAGAGCTTTGTGATCTTCCGCATCACACACCGGTTTAGGGTTTAGGGTT